CAGGTGAACACAGGTGGGAGGGGCATTCCTGGCGCTGAACAGAGCATGAATCAGCAAAGGCATGGGGCATGGCCAAGCCAGAGCATGACCTGGGATGGGCAGGAGGCGAGGGCTGATCAGGACACACCTGGGAGCCCCTAGGAGGGTGGGTGGGCTTCTCCTGGGCCAAGGGGCCTTATGCCAGGAGGGCTTTGTGACCCCAAAGGCTCATTCTACACCAGGGTGGGCAGGCTGGGGGAAGCACAGCAGGGACCACAGTCACGCACACTGGCTGGAGTGTCCCCCACAACTGTCTGCAGTCTCCCCAGCTCAGAGCCAGGGCCTGGTGGGGGACACTGAAGGGAGTGTTGCTCAATGAATGATAAATGGCCCAATCTGGTACAGCTGGTGGCAGGGGCTGGACCTGGACCACTGTGTTTGGCCACTCTCCCACCCCAACAGGGTCTGTGGCATGAACGCCCCTCTGGGGTTCTCTGTGGTCCCCAAAGCCCTCCCCTGCAGGTAGAGTCCCCCTTGCTGTGGAGGCCTGTGGGATTGGTGGTCTTTCAGGTGGGTCTAACTGCCCACCCCCTGCTCTACAGATTTTCCTGTTAACCTTGCATCGGAAGTGAGAGAGAGTGTCTGTGTCTTGTTTCCTTTTTCTCCATGGCTGCCAGGCAGCTCTGGCACATTTTGTGCTCAAATATGAGAACAGGGCACCTTTAACCCCACTTTCTGGGCCAGTGCTCCCACTCTGCCTTGCATGGCAATTCCTTATTGTGACCATAACGATCCTTTGTACCCAAGGCTTTTATTGGGAGCAGTGAAAATCCTCTTGGCAGGAAAGAAATACATTTCTGGTCCCCAAGGCTTTCTTTTGGCCCAGAATTTGCAGTCGCCTCTGCTTCCCAGGCAGATTTCAGAGGGATGGCGCTGCGCCCTGCTGCAGTGGGGGTCACTGGCCCTTTCACACCCTGCCGGTCCCAGGCAAGAAAAAATGTGCAGCCCATTTACACTCGTGGTCACACAGGGAGTGGGCCGGGGAGCCTGGCCGGGTCCCTCCCACACAGACTGGACACGTCTGTGGCCCCAAACATCCCCTCCTCCTCCACCCCTGCAGCACCGGATGCTCTCAGCAGTCCTGCTGGTGAAATGGGACACTGACCCTTGGAATGGGGGTGCGTGCAGGAGGGGCCTGAGGTCCCCAGACCATTCACGGCAGACCCAGAGTAGGGATACGGGAACCTCAGGATGGGACACATTCACCTGGCCTCAGAGACAGGTCCCTCTCACCTCCTCTATTCCTCTGGCTTCTGCCCCACACCACGTAATACCCTCAGGTGCCCCAGCAAGTAGAGAGGGCCCATCCCTGGCCAGGGAGGCTCCAGGCCGATGAGGGAACAGGTGCCCCTGGCGCTCCTCTGCCCCCACCCCCTGCCCGTGGGGGCCACAGGGGCTGACGGGAGGCGGGGACTTGGCTCGGCAAGGGCCGCGGCAGTCCAACCAGACTCAAGACGGGCCTGCAGGCACCGCATGTTTTGATCCGACGCTGCACTGGAATATTTGAGCCCTGCTGATGGATGCGATATAAAAATACAGCCGGCTGCCAGCACAGCGGGAGGGGCAGCTTCCTCGCCAGCAAGTGCCACGGCAACGTGTTCCCCACCCGCAGCCCCCACCCCCGGAGCCGGGGGCAGGACCCACAGATTGGAGCTGCTTCCATGAAGAGTGAACATTTCTGCTGCTCTGAGGAATATTTCCTCTTGAATCCCATACTGAGCTGCAACGGAATATTTGGATTAATCCTTTTTCCCACTTTTCTGTAGAAACTCAGCAACTGAATTAAAATATAGGAGCTAATTGAAACATACGTATGTCTACGTATATGTGGTAGGAACCGCATCGGCAACACACTTGGGCCAGGTCCAAACGAGCCCCGAGAAGGACGGTGTGCTTGGCCCTCACGCGGGCCAAGCCTCCCGCAGCTCCCGGCGGGTGCTTCACTTTATTTTGCTGGAGTCTCCAAGAGCCCGAGGGGAAGCCCTGAGCAGGACACCAGCTGTGCAAAACACTCCCTGTGGCGAGGCCCAGGGATGTCCCATGTAACCCATGACACTGGCTCTTGGGGGACTAACTCCAAGGGTACATGGAGGAGTGGGCTCAGAGCCCGGCTCTGCTGCTGGACCTTTCTGGGCTCACACCTGGGAGTCCTGGGCCACACAGTCACCCCGGGCCTCAGTTTCCTCAACCATAGACAGGGGATGACAACAAACGTCTCTGGCTCCATGAAGTTGGCGTGGAGAGACGAAACAGGCCAAGGCTGAGTCCGTGAGGAGGACGGCCACCTCGGGGACAGCCAGGCCTGCAGGGGCCAGGTGGACAGAGTGCTGGGGCCTGCTCTGTACCCTAGAGACGTCCCCCAGCAGACGGTCCCAGGCCCAGCGTGTGGGGCCGACGGAGCTCACGCACCCTCGGGTGGACGTCAGCACCTTCACTTCCCGCTGACGAGCCGCGTTCCTGTGGCAGGCAGGGTGAGAAGCCGGGCTTCTGTCTCTGTTTACCCAGCTGAAAAGAAAGTCTCTCCAGGCAGCAGTCATGATCGAATGGCGAACAGCTGTTGGCTGCAGCTCCAGCGACAACCTGGAAGGTGAATTCTGGGATTAGGAAAGGAAAAGGAGTCAGGTCTGCCGACGTTCCTTGCGAGCCCTGATGCTCCCTTGGGGTTAATCCCAGAAGAGCCCCGGGTGGGGCCTGCAGACCAGAGGTGACCTGCTCCCAGGGGGCTGCGTTTCTTCTACAGATCTCACAGCCTCTGGGGCTCAAATAAAAACCTGACACTGACCAAATGCCTGTCCCCTGCTCCAACAAGGGGGCGGCCCTGAGCTGGACAGGGTGGTTCTCCAGGCCCCTCTGCTCAGCCTCCTGCCTGTGCCCTGTCTCCCCCTCCCCTGCTCTGGCACTGCATTCCTGAAAGCTCGCACCTTCCGCCCTCTGGACACTTGCTCAAGCCCTGCCTGGGCCCACTCGGCCTGGGGAAGCTGCCGTTCCCGATGACCTCCTGAGAGGCGGTTGGGGGTGGTGGTATCATGCTCAATAAATACTTACTCTTTTGTGGCTGGATTTGGAGCAGCCCAGGCTCTTATTACCAGCCGTGTGACCTTAGACAGGTTTGGTCACCTCTCTGAGCCCCAGGAAATGTGGCAATTGCCACAGGAAATGTGCTAGTAACAGTACTCCAAAATGGGCCCCAACATGTTGTTCCTGTCGAGGCAAGGTGGCCTGGGGTGGGCTGGGGGCTGCGTGCTGGTGGCGGGTGGGGGGGCTGCCCTCATCTTGCCAGCAGTTTTGGAGTTCTGGGCCCATCCGGCAAGCTTGGTAAGAGGCAGATTCTGGAGTGAAAATTCTGGGGTCTGGAGTCTTAGCAAGGCTGCGGCGATCACTTTGCGGCCCTGAGGCTGCCCTTGGAGCTTCCCCAGCGCCTTCGGCTTTGCAGGGGTGTCAGCCACGCAATCTCCGAGGCAAGGTCACCCCTGTGGCCCCTGATTCGGCTGTAAGGTTGGACCACAAACTGGCAGGCCTGGCAGGGCCTGAGAGAGCTTCCAGCAACCCCCCACTTCACAGGTGGGGCCCTGAGGCCCCGAGAGAGCAGGGCAGTGTCTGAGCCAGTGCCACAATCCTATGCCGAGCTGGGCCGACGACTATAGATCCTGCCCGGGCCTGGTGATGGGAGCTCAGGGATGTCCTAGTTAGCCTTAGCTGGCCATCTCCATCCCCCACCCCCCACCATCCCCTCTACTTCCCACCCCGATCTCAGTTTCCCCACCTGTGTCTGAGCCTAGCACACAGTAGGTGTGAGTGCTAGCATGTGCGGGCTGGGATACCTCTTCCCAGTCGGGGTACCCTGAGGATCCATAGCTTGGGGCGATGCAGCCAGGCAGCTGCAGGGAGGGGCTTCTCTAAGGAACAGCTCTGGCAAGTCAGACCAGGAAAGGCCTGCTCTGGTGCCAGACTTGGGGGACAGGGGCTTGGGGAAGAAAGGCAGGACCCAGGGCTGAGCCCTCCCCAGGACAGACCCTGGGCCACCCCAGGCCAAGGAGAGATAGGTGCAGATCCAGAAGTGATTGGGCTGGGCTGGGCTGGGCAGGCAGGGCCTGGGAGGGGAAGGGGACACCCAGGGAAGCCCCGGAGTGGGGAGAAGAGATCTGGACTGTTCCCTCCAGCCCACTGAGCTGAAGCGTGTCTGTGTGTGTTGGGGGCTCCACCTCTCCCTTGCTACACTCCGTCCTGCTCTGGTCCCTCACACCCCTGTCCCAGGAGTTTCCCAGCTCTGCAGCAGAGACTGGAAGTCTGTGGGGTCCTGGCCTACTTCATTGTTGGGCTCCCCTTCCAGCCACCCCTCCTCAAACCTCAGTGTGGGCCAAGCGTGGACACTTGGCTGGGGGTGAGGGCTGGGGGGGGCCCCTGGGGATGCTTGGGGAGCAGGCAGCCTTCAGGCCCCTCCCTGCCACTGAAGGCTTTTCCCATGCCTATGGCATTAGGGCCTCAATGACCTCCCCAGGTCTTGTTAGCTCAGAAACAAGAAACTGGGGGCCGTTCAACCTCATTGTGGCCAGGCTGGGCAAGCCAAGGCCTCTAGTCTGGAATACTGGTATGGGGCTTGCCTTGGCCCCATCCCACCCCATCTCCACACAGAAGGCGTGCAGAGCCCTGGAGGACATGGGGAGGGACGGGATGGGAATGCAAGGAGGACAGCCCCCCAGGATCTAAAGTTGGAGTTAGCTTGGGTGTTCTAGATTCCTTTTGCCTCTTAGCCACTTACAGCACAAGAACTTTGAGTATATATTTTGCACGTATATAAAGCATTTCGCTTTAACAAAAAAGACCTCCTTCTCATGCAAGAGGGGAGCTGGGACTTGGAGGCCCTCTGTCCGGCCCTGGAGTGGGGGTGGGGGATAGGCAGGGTGAGGGTCTGGAAGGTACCCCCACCTCCAGGCTTAAGGACTGACTGCTGCACCCAACAGTAGATTACAAAGGTTTATTTAGAAAATAGTTTGGTTGTTTTGGCTGTCGTTTTTGGCAAACACTGAAATACTTTCAGTAATCAAAGCTCGTCAGTGCCCTCTTTCTCCCTGCCCCCAGACAGCCACCCTCACAGGTCCTGGGGAAGTCAGCCCTTGCTCAGATGGTGCGGGGTGGTGGTGCGTGTCGGGGTAGGCTCCTTTCTTACCCACTCGGGGGGCTGTGTCCACCAATGCAGTCTAACACCCTTACTTCACAGCGACATGGCGGCTGGGCCCTGGGGCTGGATACAGGCGGGAGCCGTAGAAGCAGCCCCTTGCTGAGGTAGGAAGGCAAAGGGGTCTCCCTTTCTCCTCCCCCCTCCCGGGAAGCCCAGCTGTCTTTCGGCCAGGCCACATCCTCTCCTGCCCCTGGAGGCTAATTCATCCAGAGTGTCCGGGGAAGCTGCCCTGCCTGCCACCTGCTCCGCCCAGCCCCTGCTCGGGGCGGCCAGGATCTCCGGGCGAGGGGACGCGGGTCACTGCCTGAAGCCCCTTCTCCTCCGTCGGAAGAGGATGTGCTTGAAGGAGCGCCGGAAGTCCTGGTTGAAGACGGTGTAGATGACCGGGTTGAGCGAACTGTTGCAGTAGCCAATCCAGAAGAAGAACTTGAAGAGCGGGTCAGGCACCTGGCAGGCCTCGCGGCAGATGCCGTACAGGCTGTAGCTGAAGAAGAAGGGGAACCAGCAGAGCACAAACACGCCCATGACCACGGCCAGCACGAAGGTGAAGCGCTTCTCGCGCGCCTGGGCCACCTTGCGGCGGCACACGCTGCTGCGCGCCCGGCGCCGGCGCGACAGGAAGAACTCGACGGAGCGCGAGCTGGCGCGCGACAGGCGCCCGCCCGGCCCCGGGGACCTGGTGGCCGCCAGCGCCCCCGGCTCGGCCGACCCTGCCGCCGGTCCCGGTCCTGGCCCGTCGGCGCCACCCGAGCCCCCCTCGGCGCCCGCGCGCCGCCGCCCGCCCCGCCGCAGCGCGCCCCGGCGCCGCCGCCTCTCGGCCGCTGCGCTGCTCTCGTCCGGCTCCACGTCGGCGCGCGGGGGCGCGCAGTGCCCGTTCTCGCCCGTGCCCGCCGCCGCGCCCAGCCCGTTCTCCGTGGTCGGAGACGCGCCGTCGGGGCCCGCGGGAGCGCGCTTCTCGCTGAGCGTGCGCGTGCGCAGCTTGGCCACACGGTAGATGCGCGCGTAGACCAGGCCCATGATGAGGCAGGGCGCGAAGAAGGAGCCGATGCAGGAGGACAGGATGTACCAGGTCTCGTCGTTGAGGCCGCACTGCGGATAGGCGGCGCCGTCGGGCTGGCGGTAGAGTGAGACGAGCGGCGGGAAGGAGATGACCGCCGAGATGAGCCACACGGCCACGATGGTGGCCTTGACGCGGCGCGGTGTGCGCTTCAGGTTGTATTCGACGGCCTGCGTCACAGACCAGTAACGGTCCAGGCTGATGGCGCACAGATGCACGATGGACGAGGTGCAGAAGAGCACATCGAGCGCCAGGTACACACCGCACCACACCTGCCCGAAGTACCAGTAGGCCATGAGCTCATTGGCCAACGAGAAAGGCATGACCAGCGTGGCCACCAGGATGTCAGCCGAGGCCAGCGACACCAAGAAGAGGTTTTGTGGCGCGCGCAGCGCCCGGCTAGTCAGCACGGCGATCACCACCAGCACGTTGCCCACCACGGTGAAGACGATGAGGAAGCCCACCACGGCCGCCAGCCCCGCCACGGCGCCCGCAGAGTACTGGCCAGGCGGCGGCCCCCAGGTAGCCCCTGAGGCGTTGGCGCCCCCGCTGCTGCCCCTCTCGCCAGCGCCGCTCACATTGGGGCCCGCCGCCGCCGCCGCCAGCGCCGCCGCCAGCGCCGGGGACGCCATGGTCCTCCCGCCAGCTACGCGGTCCCTCCTGGAGCCGGGGCGCAGCCGCGGCAGCTTGGGCGCCCCGCAGCCCGGGTCGGCGCCCGCATCGCCGCCTGCTCTTTGGGCGCGCCCGCCAGGGACCGCGGCGCCCCACAGCCGGCCCTCGGCCGTGGTGGCTCGGCGGGCGGCGCGCCGGAGAGCTTGGCTGCCGGGCTCCCCGCAGCTGCCGAGCGCGTAAGTGCAGAGCAGGAGGCGCCCGGAGCGAGCGGCGACGCGGCGGCGGGGGGGAGGGGGCAGGTCCCGGGGTCCTCGCGCGGCCCCGCCCTCGGCCCCGCTCACGGGGAGCGCCCCGGCCGCGAGCCCACGGCGACGCGGCGCCCGAGTGGGTGTGCCAGAGCGGCCCCGCGGCCCCAGCGCCCGGCTCGGGCGCAGGCTGCGGGCGGCGGCGGCGGCCCGGGCGCTCCGCCTCCCATCCGGCCGGCTAGGGCTCTGCGCGCCGGGGCTCCGGCCGCCGCTCCTCTGGGCCCCCGCGCCCGCGCGCACCCTGCGGCTCCAACTTTACTTTCCCGGGCCGGGCGCCGGCGCCGCCGCGAGTCCTCCTCCCAATGCTCCGGCGCGGGCGCCCCCCGCGGTCCGCGCTCGGCCGTGCGGGCGCCGCCTCGCCAGCCGCGCCTGCTTCGCTTGCCGGTGCCGCGCCGCTCTCGCCCCCTCCGCCCTGCGCTGGGCGCGAGTGCCGTCGCCGGGCTGGGCTGCCAACTTGGGTCGAGTTGCGCAGCGGGGAGGGCGCGCGGGGCGGGGTGCAGGGCAGGCCCGCGCCTCCCGCCCTGGGGGAGCGGGCCGGGAGCTGGAGCCCGCGGACGTCTCGGCGAACCTGCCCGTGCGGCTCCGGGGAGGAGGCCGTGGCGGCGGCGCGGGGTGCGCGCTCGGCGAGGGCGCCCCCTCCAGACCCCTCTGCAGCCTGCGGGACGGGGCTGGGCGCCGGCCGGCCTGGGCGGTGAGTTCCAGAGCCTGCTCTTTCTAAGACTGGAGCCTCTTTCACCTCCCCTGGCACGGGATACGCGCGCGGCCGCGCGCATAGGCGCGCGCGGCCCTGGCCGGTTCGGGGTCCACTGCCTGATTGGAGAGCCAGCCTCTCGCGGCCTGCGGAGGGCGCGACACTGGCCGGGTGCTCGCTGGTCCTGCCTAGCTCGGGGTCGGGCTCAAATCCCGGTCGGTGCTCCCAGGCAGAGCCTTCTCCCCACCCACGCCAGCCTCAGTTCCCTCCTCTGCCCCCTCCCCAGCGCTGCTGGAGCATGAATCATAACGGCGGTGCCTGTGGAAGCCCTGGGCAGGCTCCCAAGCTCTGCGCCCATGTTGGCAATTATTGAAGTTTAATTCTTATGCGCTGAGGCCTTGCTTTTAAAGGGTGGAGGGGTGTTCAGAATTACCACTTCCGACAAACACCCAGACTGAACTGCATGGATGAGGGGCTGTTTTGCGTGGGTGGGCTTGGGAGAGTAGCTATTGAGGTCACCCCATTTCCTCTGCCCCGCATCCCTGTGCATCCATTCCGCAGATGCGCACTGCCACTCACGGCCCATGTTGGGTGCTGGTGGCCGCCTCCAGGCAGCCTGGGACAGACGCCTAGGGAGGAGGTGGCCCAAGGGGAAAAGTTGGAGTTCCCAGGTCTGACACTTCTCTGCTGGGACTAAAGGGGTGACCTCTTCCTCCCTGCCATTCAGAAACACACCCCAACTGGGGCTGACAGCAGAGAGAGGGAAGCTGTGGGGAGGTGGCTCCTGGGTGCCCAGGAAGTCATCTTGTAAGGGGTTGGAGCAACTCTGTGCCCCCACTGGTGATGCCTAGAAATGTCCATGGTTTGGGGCAGCTTCTTTTTGAACTCCTGAGGGGCGCCTGCCATCACCTCAGCCTAGAGCGTTCTCTTAGGCTGGGCAGCCTTACGAGAGGAGCGCTGCCGTCCCAGCAGAGATGCTGCTGTGCAGCGGAGCCTCCTTGTTCATCGTGTTTGTCACCAGCAGAGGCTATGGGGGCACAGGGGGGATTGAGCCAGGGCCAAGCAGAAACCAAACATTCTAGATGATGGGCTTGCCCAGCAGGGGTGCACTTTGGGGGAGCAGAGGCCATGGCTGTCATGAGAGGTGTGTGACCCAGAGAAGTTGGGCATTTGCCATCCTTGCTAAAGGTCCTCCTGGTCCCGGAGGCCTAAAAGGTGCCATGGATCACTGGCACCTGTGGGTGCACTTTGCAGGGAAGACCTTTGTCTATATTGGATCCTCTGTGTGTGCAGAGAGGGAGGGGCCTGGCCTCGAGGCACCCACGGTCTGGGGCAGGCAATGCCACCCACTGAGATGGGTGCACTGACAGCACCTGGTGCTCGGGAGTTCTTCCCTCAGCCTGGAATTGGAGTTGTCAAAGAAGGCTTCCAGAGGAGGGGACCCAGCTGTGCTTGGAGAATGAGGAGTAGCTATGAGGAAAGGAGAGGCCCGGTAGGCCGTGCTCCCCAGGGTGGGGTGGGCTTTGTCCTGGAAGTGTGTGGAGCCGGGGCAGTGGTGTTGGTCAGACGCAGGTTTGGGAGCTCTCTCCCTCCCCCAGCAGCTGCCAGCCATGTGGGCCTCCGCCACACCATGAAGGGGCTCTCATCTTGCGAGAAGTGCTTTGGAGGAATGCACGGGTGTGGGGACCATCCATCCAGGATCCTGGCTCCGTCGATAGTCTCACATGTTCACAAGCGATGGCAGCCTGGGCACTCGAATTTGGAACAAAAAGGGACAGAGTGCCTGGGGCCCCGAGCTGGACAAGCCACACCACTGACCAGGAGCGGTTCCTCAGGCCAGCCAGGCTGAGGGCATCTGGAGGGCCTGGCCTGTGAGTGGCCCAGGCCCTTGGAGATGGCAGCCAGCAAGTTGACATGGTGCCTCTGGCAACACCTGGCATGACCTGGAGGGGCAGGAGGGTCCACTCCCGGACCTGAAGCCAGGGAGTGAGGAGAGCTGGGTGCCCTGGTCCTTAACAGCAGCGATGTGTGGACTGTGCTTAGGGACTGCATCCTACACACGCCCCTGGAGATCCCAGGGATTGCAGCTGTTCGCAAGGGAGCTGGAGAGGTCTCTTACCCTAGACGTGAAATTAGGCTTCACAGACTGCTCCAGATTGTCCAGTAACAAGCAGAACAGTGTGCGCCCAGAAAGATTGCGTGTCCCCATGAGTGGCTGCTGTCCAGGCCCGGGCTGGGCATGACCAGGAGGGGTGACGCAGGAGGGAGCTACAGGGAGTCAGGCTGCAGTGATGGGTCCGTGGGGGCTGTGTATGTACACACGCTCATGGAGGCACATTGAGGACAGTGTGGGTACATTTCGGAAGGAAAACCATGTGGGGAGGAGCGTCCTGGGGCTGTGGAGGTGCACTTGCACTTCACTTCGTCTGTGATGGGCGAGGCCCAGAGGGCAGGGATGGTCCAGCTGGGGCCATGCAGCCATGGGGCATTGGGTCCTGGCTGCTCTGCCAGAGAGAGCTGGTGGGCTACCCGTGAGAAGGGGTTTGGGTGCCCACCTGCTGGTTGCACACCTGGGATGGGGCACTCAGCTTCAGGAGCAGCCTCAGCTCGGGTTGAGGGGAGCTTGTCTCCTTCAGCCACCCCCTGCACACACAGGTACGCATGTGCACGCACACATGCACAGTGTCCACATGCATATGTATCCACAGTACCTCTGTGCACATATGCACCCATGTGTACATGTGTGCACACATACACATCTATGTGCACGTGAACACAAACATCCATACACACATACCTATCCACATGTCTGTATGCATGCACGCACACCTGTTCATGCACAGACATGTTTTCGCAACCATATGCACACATACGTACTGTGTATGCACACATCCACATGCTATGTATGCACATATTGTGCACACATACCATGTCTGTTATACAGTGCATCCACACACGGATGCATGCAGATAGTGTATACACATGTACGCACATATACATGTTCACACACATGCATACATGCCCACATGTTGCACCTGTCCTTGCACTGTGCACATGCATAGACATGTATATGTGCACACTGACACATCCATGCACATATAGTGGGTGCACATATATCCATACACGTGCACACACAACACACTGGTGCACACAATTATGTTCACATGCTGTGCATAAATACGTGTATGCATTCCCATGCTTGTGCATACATATATATCCATGCACATACGATGTGCACACACAAATGGGCATGTACACACATGTGTGTGCACATCGCTGCACATACCTGTCACCATGCACACACCCAATCATGCACATGCACACTTGGGTTCACATGTGTGGATGCACATGGATACATGCAGCACACGTGCGCAGGTACCCGTGGCCTTGCTCACCCTCCTAGGCTGCAGCAGGGATGTATTTCTGGGGCCCTACTGCAGGCCGTTCTGGGGTTGAGGCCAGGTTCTGTCTCACCTCCCAGTCTGCCCACGTCCACCCATCCCTTGCAGACAGCTCTTCAGCCCTTCCCTCCAGGCCGTGAGGCCATTCGTCACGACCTTGTGTGGGCCCTGGGCCTTGGCACAGGCAGTCCTCATGGTCTGCCCAGCCTTTGCCCGTCTTCCTGGGGCTCTTTTCCTTCAAGACTTGTCGCGTGAGTTTCCTCCTTCAGGAAGCCTCCCTGATCTCCCAGCTGGGCCTGGGCTTCTTTTGCTGGCCGGCATGCCCCGCGGGGCGTGGCCGTTGTCAGTGACTATGTGTCTCGGCTGTCAGCTCTTGAGAAGGGGCCCTGTCTGTCCCCACTGCCTGGTTCAAGGCCTGGCTCCTGGCTCCCAGCAGGGGCCCAGTGGAAGCCTGTGTGCCTCTGCAGGCCGCCCTGAGACGGTGCGCACCTCCTCAGCCATGCTGGACACCTACAGGGTGCTGAGTGCAGGTGTGCCCAGGAGAGCACAGGGTGCCCTTTCTGCCTCAGTTCTGTGGAGTTTGGGGTCATCCAATTGGCTTTAAGCCTCTGCTCAGACCCTTACTTACTATCTGGCAGCAGGTGAGCCCCTGGCTTCCTGGGCCTCAGTGTTCCCTGTCTGTGAAATGGGGCCTTGGCCTGATGGTTCCGAGGCCCTGCCAGCTCTGAGCGCCTTCCCTCTGCCCCACTTGGCTGTGAGCCCTGTTGTGGGTGTCGTGCCTGGCCTGCCCCCTCTGCCCTGGTCAGTGCCCGCAGGGGAGGGGAAGAGCCTGGAGGTGGGGAGAGACCCGAGGGAAGCCAGCCAGTTTTCT